CCCTGCCACCAAAGTGTCCATGGGTTCGATTCCTGGTCAAGGGCACATTACCCGGGTTGTAGGTTTGATCCCTGCCCTATTGAGACGAATGGGGAGACAACCAATCGATGTGTCTCTCTCACATCGATGTGTGTGTATCTCTCTCTCTCCCTTTCCTTCTACTCTCTCTAAAAATCGATGGGAAAAAGTAGCCTTGGGTAAGGATTTAAAAAAAGAGAGATAATATCACTGCTGATTGTAAGGATCATAAAGGGAGTATTATGAACAACTCAATGGACAAATTTCAGGAAAGACACTAATGACCAAAGCTTACTCAAGATGAACAGAGAAATTAAATAGCCCCATATTACTCAAATTGCACTTGTAGTTTAAAACCTTTCCCCCAAAAGAGAACTCCGGGCAGATGGTTTCTGGGTATTTCTAACAAACATTTAAGGGGGGAGGGGAACGCTACACAAACTCTAGAAAATGGAAAAGGCAGGAATACCTCCCATTTCCTTCTGTGAAGCCAGCATCATCCTGATACCAAAACTAGAAAAAAGCATGCCAGGACAGAAAGCTACAGACCAGAATCCCTCTTGAACATAGATGTAAAAATTCAAAAAAACCCCTCAGCAAATTATACTTAACAATATATGAAAACGATACTTCATCATGACCAGGTAGGGTTTATCTCAGGAATGCAAGCCTGATTTAACATTAAAAAGTTAATCGAAGGCCCTGACTGGTTTGGCTCAGTGGATGGAGCTTCGGCCTACAGACTGAAGGGTCCCAGGTTCGATTCCAGTCAAGGGCATGTACCTTGGTTGCGGGCACATCCCCAGTGGGGGGTGTGCAGGAGGCAGCTGATCGATGTTTCTCTTTCATTGATGTTTCTAACTCTCTATCCCTCTCCCTTCCTCTCTGTAAAAAATCACTAAAATATATTTTTAAAAAGTTAATCAAAGGAGACATATGTAAAACTTTAGACAATAAATAAATTAAAAAAAATTAATCGATGTCATTTGGCATATGAACAGATAAAGGGAACCATATGATCTCTGTAGATGAAGAGAGGAAATTTTGCCAAAATTAAACATCAATTCTGGATTTTAAAGCTTTTAGCAAAACAGGAATAAAAGGTAGCTTCCTTATGCTGATGGGAGCACCTATGAAAACTGACAGCTGTCATCACGCTTATGGTGAAGACTAAACACTCTTTCCGAAGATGAGGAACAAGAGGTCTGTGCTCTGACTTTTATTTCTACATTGTACTAGAGGTTCTGACCGACACAACAAGGAAGAAAGAAAAGAACCATTATTAGAAATGAAGAAGTAAAACTGTATTCATACACAGAAGATATTACTGTCTATGTAGAAAATTTGAATAAGTCTCTTAAAAAGCTGCTAGAACTAATATGGGTTTGGCAAGGCGAGAGATACAAGATCAGTATACAAAAATCAATTTTATTTCTATATAAGCAATGAATGGGAATTGACTGTTTTTAGGATATCATTTTCATTAGCTTTTGTTAAGTGGAGTGTTCTACAAATGTCAATCAGGTCAAGTTAATTGACTATGTTATTCAAATCTTTTATAAACTCATGGACTTTCTTTCTACTTATTCTTCCAGTTATTGAGAGGGAGCATGGGAATCTCTGGCTATCACTGCAAGTTTACTTTTCACTGCAGTTCTATCAGTTTTCACTTTACTGGTATATTATCTTAAAGCTCTGCTATTAACTGTGCAAATGTTTAGGTGCAATATCCTCTTACTAAATTGACCACTTTACTATTAAGAAATGACTTCGTCCCTTGCAACAGCTTGGCTCTGAAATCTCTACAGTTCAACTTTATTTTGAACTAAATAAAGTGGTCCGGTGCACGAAATTTGTGCACAGGGTGGGTGGGTGGGTGTGTGTGTGTGTGTGTGGGGGGATGTCCCTTAGCCCGGCCTGCACCCTCTCCAATC